TACAGGGAGTCCTTTCCAGCCTTTTTGGTGACAGTAGTTTTTATATGTCTAGTTTGTTGCACCAAAATCTGTAGCTTATTTAATTCCAATTTTATGCACATATTAGATAAATTTGTATACAAGGCGTAAAGTCAAGTGTCAACAGGGCTTAGGGTGATCAGAAGGGATTAATTAGGATATCTGGCTATGTGGATTGCTTTTAACATTTCACTCCCCCTAACTCATTTTTTTTCAGATTTTTTTTTTCTAGTCTATATTAAATAGTTAGTATATTGTTTTTACTAGTATACTATCTCAATCATGATTTACTTGAATATCAATGCACCAGCAAACAACCCAAGGGTGATATCTGGCTTAAGCAAAATAATTTTTTTTTTAAATCCAGCCTCTTCCTCATCACTTTTCCAACCTAGATAGGGTGATAAACTAATAAAAAAAAAATTATAGGGCCTTATATCATCACCAGTCTGAAGATTACTTTTAATTTTTCTTAAGGTATTTTATTTTTAAAATTGTAATAATAATTAATAATAAAATGGTATTTACATAGCAAAGTGTATGCACTTGACACTGTAACTTGTATTTTAAATACCGTAAAGCCCTAAATTTTCGCGTGCCCTTCATTTTCGCGAATTTCGCGATTGAACAACAATCGCGAAAGTTAAGGGCGCGCGAAAATCTCAAAAATTATATTTGGTCAAAAACGATTGTAAAACGTGATTTCCATAATAATGTGATACTTATATCAGGGATGTTGTTATGCAGGGCGGACGTGGGCGGGGCTGCCCAATCTTTGACGTCTTGCGCCCATCCTAAAGCTATTTTTAAGGCCTTCCGCCAAGCCTCATACTTGACCCTCCCACCACCCTTAAAATCATGAAAAACACAAGTTTTTGCTCAATAACCTGTATATTCCGGTGGTATAAGCTGCAAGTTTTATACGCGATTTTCCCCCGAAGTTTGAGGTGCGGCTTATACACCGGTAGTTAACCTACTCCCAAAAGGTTCAGATCGCCAGCCGCAGCGAAAATCGGGCGTTGTCTGACTAGCTTGGGCCCATGCTAGCCCAATTAATTAGCCTAGGGTTGGAAGGCCTAGTATTTGTAATTATACGCACTACAGTGCTGTACTAGGATTCCTACTACATTTTCTACGACATTCAAGCAATGGTTTGGGTTGTCTAATTATTTTCATAATTATGTTCACTCATAAAAACATGCTGTTTCTATTCGAAATTGCTTCGCTCAAAACAAATAAACAAACTACTTTTCGGTTTCGGGATTTACGATGACGCAACAAAACACACGTGGGCTGGTGAAACTTGCTGTTTGACATCTGGTTCCTGGTGCCTTGTACTGTTGTAAGAAAGAATAATGATACTGCTATAATTTCAGAATAAAAGCTTTTAAAATTAATTTATGCTATAAAAACACAAGTTTTCTTGAAGTTGTAATAATTATTTTACTGGAAATTAATTGAAGAAATGCATACGTACGTCATCTGTTTTTTGTTTATAAACGTAGTGGGCTGTGAGTATTAAATGACTTAGGCCTAGAATTACCAATATATTTAGCCTAATATTGACTGTTATTAGTCACCAAAATATAGAATGATTGCTTAAAATAGCTAAATATACTCAATAAGCATTATATTTTATTAGATTGTATTTAACTAGCCTAAAAACAAGACTACTACCACAAGTACAAATATGGCCTACCGTTGGTCTAGGAATACTAATAGCCTTGCAAGACCTGGAAATTTAATTGTGTTCTATTAAGCGATATAAATACTAGGTTTTAAAGCTTACCATCTTCTGTTTGCATGATGAAAATCGACTGGATAAAAATGGCGAAATTTGTTTTCTTCAGTGGTGGCAAATCGCGAAATTCCATTTTCCAAGTAGATTAAATCGCGAAAATAAAAGGACGCGAAATGTTTGAAATCGCGAAAATTTAGGGCTTTACCGTAAATGTGCTGATTTTTGGAATTTCTATTTTTGAGTAGAATTCATTATTGGCTTAAATAAAATTTTCCATTCAGTTGTGTATGTTTTAAGACAACAATTAATAAACATTTTATTGTGTAGAATTTTATTTATTACCATGTAGACATAACAATTTAGTTTTAGACAAATTAGAAAGCAAGTTTAAGAAAAAAAATTACTCACAAGGAGAGAAATCCACATGGTCGACCTTTCACCTATTGCCACTGGCTCATGATTGTTTTTTTTTTTTATTGATGAGGGCCAACTTTCACTGCCTAGGCTTGAGAATGTACGAAGTTGTTGTTTATTTACAAATAGAACACATAAAATGTGTTATGATGAGTATACATTGAACACAAATAATAAACTGTGTTTTAAAAGCTGGTTAAATAGAAAGAGTGATGTAGGCACATTGAGTTTAAAAGTAGGAATTAGTCAGAGAAGTAGGTAGGCACAGCACAGCGAAACATGGTATCATATCATTGTTTATGTTAAATAAACGAGCTCAAACTTGTGGTTTCTTTGGCTACTGGCTTACAGTTTATCCTTTGTTAATGTCAAAGTTACAGAAAGATAGAGTGCATTTGCCTTGTATTTTGAAATTGTATATGTACAGCTTGTGTACATATCATAGTCATTATACAATGTGTATCGGTAAATTTAAGCTGTAACAGTATTTTGTTTTCTGAAAGAAGCTGTAACGGGCCGTTACAGCTTATTGCCCTGGGGAGAACACTGGGATCCAACACACTTTTTTGCCCGACCCCCTTGAAATCGCCCAATAGTTTGCCTGTCTACCACAGTGAAATTTTTGGCTCCATGCCAGCATTTTCAGATGAGTTAGAGCAATTTGAAATTTTTAATGGGATTTGGCTAAAAAATTCACCTTGTGACAGACAACTGCTTTTATCTCTCTTGAAACTCAACGTATTGGAGAAATTCTGGTACCGTTGGATAAAGAAGATTCTGTTTCCAATGATATGCAACTCGATGTCTTAACTGTAGTCAGATGTTTATTACTGCTGCAGGTCCTAGGTTTATGGAATGAACTTCATTATTATATTAAACAATTTGTTAGTTTACCTGTATTTAAAAAAAACTTGAAATTACATTATTTAAGCCTATACCAAAATTAAAGCTATACGTTACTTTCATCATTATTACTATTGATATTATTATGATTATAATATGATATGATGAATATGATTATTCGGTAATCAGACATAAACCACCTGGACGAAAACAACCCAAACTGGAATATACCATTGTGAAAGTAGGGTGAGAAGTGAGGTGGACAATGTTGGGTGGGCCTGTTTTTATCACCTTCACAATAGGACTGATTACACTGTGGCTGTGACCTATTATACGCCTTTAATTTATTCAATTCTTTTGACAACATGCATGTATGTTAATAATCATTGTAGATTTTTCCAGATTTCAGTAATCACTGTGCTTAAAGTTTGTATTTTCCTAATGATTTTAACACAACAATTAACTTCAAAGTTTAATGGAAATTCATATGTAAATTTGTAGTAAAGTTTTAATACATTTAATAATATTGATAGTTTTAATACATTTCATAATATTAATATTAATAGTATTCTAAATTTATTAAAATTTCTAGAAGAACATATCTCTACTTCCTTTAACAATGATTTAATAATAATAGTTTGAATCTAAAAAAGTCATATTTATCAATGAATGTAAGTTAGATCTTACTATGTTATCTTTTTATCAGTTTTGATTCAGAAAGTGACATGCACAGTAATTAATTGAATTACATTAAAGAAGATTGCAACTGTATGTAATAATATAGGCCTACTAATAATACAATAATAAGAAATTGGATGAAACACTATTGTAGTTTTTTGCTGAAATGAATTTTTAATAAAGATTTTTTTCAGTTTTAATACATAATTAATAACATTTTTTTCTTCTTGGTATGGTATTTGTCTAATATTATAGTATTACAAGGACTTGTCCCTACTTCCTTTAAATATGATTTAATAATAATAATAATAATAATAATAATAATAATAATAATAATAATAATAATAATAATGTGAATGTAAACAGTCATATCCAATAATGAATGTATGTTAATAGAATATTCATGTTAATAAGATCTTACTATTTTATATTTTATCTGTTTTGATTGAATTGTCACTACTGTATAATTAATATTTCTTCTTGCATTAATGACAGTTATAAAGAAGTAATTAATTGAATTACATTAAAGAAGATTACAACTGTATGTAATAATATAGGCCTACTAAAAAAAGAATATTTACTACAATAATAAGAAATTGGATGAAACACTATTGTACTTTTCATTTGCTGAAATGAATTTTTTAATACATTAATAACATTTTTTTCTCTCTTGGTATGGTATTTGTCTAACATTATAGTATTCACAAGGACTTGTGATTCTTGTTGTTATTATATTATTATTATTTTTTTTTTTTACTATATTATATTATTATCTAGGTTCAATATGAGACAAGGCTTGCCTTCTAATTGTGATCCTAACAATGGAGTAATTCCATGTCAAATCAACCAAAAAAAAACCTCAATCTCTCAGATTTTGTTCAAATTTTTGTATGTTGTTGAGGCCCATGAGAAATGATCAGAAATGAAAATTTTTTTCTCTAGGCCTCCTAATTAGCGAGATATCTGC